CTGAACTCATATCACAACGTGAAATCTACTTCACTTACCAACTAGGCAACATGAAAAGGTCCTTCAACACGCCCACAACTTGGGTTATACATCAAATCACGATAGGAATCAAGCACCGGATAGTTCTTACTACCCCCAAGCACACCCTTCTTATCTCGTTCAAATCTATGCACACATCTCGCAGTCACATCATACTCATCACATAGCCATCCAGTCATTGACCCCACTAAAAGGGACACTGTCGGACATACAAATCCAAAAGCACGTGCTTACATAATCAACGCCTCAGTGCTTAAGCCATAGGCAAAACCCAGCCTCAAGTCCTCCAGACTGGCCCAACATCAACACACAGAGATCACACATTGCCCCTCGATCAGGGAATCACAAGCCATCGATGCATATCTAATACTGAGCACTCATACGCGCATACGAACGCGTGGAAGGAATTCAAAGAGTTACATTTCAAGCTGAATCAAGGATGCACGATAAGAGTTCAAGAATGTGAAGTTTTTCCTAAAGGTTCTGCAGCCTCCTGAGGATAAGTACAAACGTCTCCGTACCGATCCGCCAGACTCTACTAAACCTGCTCATGACTTGTGAGACCTATGTAACCTAGGCTCTGATACCAACTTGTCACGACCGCAAACCGGACCCAATCGTGATGGCGCCTCTCGTGAAGACAAGGCCAAGCGACACAATTCCCAAATTCATTTTTAACAATTTTGTATGAGTCAATTTAAGTCATTGATAAGAAATAAATCCCAAAATTAAGCGAAATAAAACAAATGCGGAAATAGATACAACCCGACATCTAGGTGTCACAAGTCACGAGCATCTACTAAGATCTAAATACAATGGAAAGTTTGAAAAATATACTAAATACAGTCTAATGAAATCAAGAAGGAGAAAAACAGTGTTGTGAACAACGGAGCTACCTTGCTAAACTCCGATGACTCTGCCTCTGAGCAACCAACACTCGCTACCGGATTCAGAAATACCTGAATTTGCACACAAGGTGCAGGGAGTAATGTGAGTACTCCGACTCAGTGAGTAATAATAATAAATGAAGACTGAGCGATAAAAAATCACGTAAAGCACATCAACATGTTATATAGAAGCAGTATAAAACCAGTAAAAGCAATGAAGCAGTGAAATCTCTTAAAATATCTTATTTAAACTTCTTTAAAACACCTTTTTGACAATCAAGCAATTAAATGGAAATCAGTTAGAACAGATAAGCACAAAAAATCCGCCCCTTGGGCACAATACCAACAGAAACAGCCCCTCGGATAATAACATGGAACAACACCAGCCCCTCGGGCTATATCTCACATCACAATGGGTACCCGCGCTCACTGGTGGTGTGCAGACTCCTGGAGGGCCCCCTTACGGTCCAAGCGCAATATCAAGCCATCTCGTGGCATAATCACATAGGCTCTCGGCCCCATATCAACAAGCCACCTCGTGGCGTACAAATCTCAGGCCTTCGGCCTCATAATCACAATCAGTGTATCCTCACAACACAGTCCCCCGACCTTACTCATTCAGAATCTCATAAGCCACTCAGGCAACAGTAAAACATGATGCTCAACCCAAATTATCATTTAATGTATTAAAACACAGTTGTCATGGCTGAGTTATGAAAACAATAGAATATAGCATGACTGAGTACAAGTATAAAGTCAAAACAATGAGGAAATATGAGTAAAAATCCCCTAAGGGTCCAAATTGTTGGCACGAGGCCCAAATATGGCATTCAGCCCAAAACATGATGATAGCAAATAGTTTTCAATCAAATACTCGATAAAACAGTCATACGGAATAGACTAAGTCACAATCCCCAATGGTGCACGACCCCACGCTCGTCATCTAGCGTGTGTGTCACCTCAATATAGCACAACGATGTGCAATCCGGGGTTTCATACCCTCAGCACAACAATTACAATTATTACTCACCTCAAACCGGTCCAAACTCTAGCCCGCGATGTCTTTACCTCTTGAATCGACCTCCAAATGCTCCAAATCTAACCAAAATCAGTATATTATCATCAATATACGCTAAAGGAACAAAGCCCAGTCAAAAATAATCAAATTAACTCAAAATTCCCGAAATTGCTCAAACCCGGCCCTCAGGCCCAAGTCTCAAAATCCGACAACACATTCAATTACGAGACTATCCATACTAGTTTCACTCAATTTCGACTTCGAATCGGCTTTCAAATCCCCAAATTTTATTTTATGAAGTTCCATAATTTTTCCCAAATTTACATCCCAAATCTCTACTCAAATGATGAATCCAACGTTATAATTATGTATTTTAGCCAAAATTGAGTTAGAATCACTTACCCCGATGATTTTTCTTGAAAATCCCTTGAAAATTCGCCAATGCCCGAGCTCTCTAGGTCAAAATATGAAATAAAATCCCAAATCTCGTATTTATAGAGTACCTTCCGGATCCCCATCACCGCTGACCGCGTGACCACCGCTGACCGCGGTAAAACCATTGCTACAGCGAAAAATGTTGACTGCAATGATATGCTATAGTATTTTGGCCATAACGTTCTCTACAGATGTCCAAATTATGATTTCTTTATCTTTCTAGAAATTAGACACGAAGGGCTACAACTTTCATTTTTGAATCATCTCAAAATTCTTTGTAGATCAAAAGATATAGGCCTCCGAAGTTGGACCAACGACCTGCGGATTCTTCATGACCGTGGACCATTTTCCGCAACCGCACTAAAACCACCGCGCCCAATGGTAAAACTTCCACCCCACTGTAAATTTAAGCACCAGAACCAATGCCTGAGTCCCGGTAATGCCCGGACTCGCTCAAAACTCACCCGCAACACACACGGGACCTCAAGCCAAACATATTAACACCTCCCATAACATCATTAAAACTTAGTCGAGCCTTCGAATCACTCAAAACAACGCCAAAATACCAAATCAACTTCGGATTCAAGAATAAGAACTTAAGAACTTTCAAGTTCCACAAACGATGTCGAAACCCACCAATTCAACTCCGAATGACCTAAAATTTTGCACACACGTCACAAATTACACAACGGACCTACTCCAACTTCCGGAATTCCATTTCGACTCCTATATCAAAATCTCACCTATCAACCGGAAAACGCCAAAATCCCAATTTCGGTAATTCAAGCCTAAACCTTTCACAGACCTCCAAAATACATTCCGATCACGCTCCTAAGTCCCAAATCACCTAATGGAGCTAACCAAATCATAAAAATTCCAATCCAAGATTATATACTAACAAGTCAAAACTTGGTCAAACCTTTCAAATTTTAAGCTTCAAACTGAGAACCGTTCTTCCAAATTCATTCCGATTACCCTGAAAACCAAAATCGATAATTTACATGAATCATAATACATCATACGGGGCTAGTCATGCTCAAGAACTGGCGAGCGAAGTGCAAATGCTAAAAACGACCGGTCGGGTCGTTACAATTTTAACGAATTTGGGTCTTTCTGAATTTCATCAAAACCTAGACTTTAATCAATATATTTTTTCTAGCATAAACTATGGTTATATGAAATTATGAGTAGTTAATCAATATATACTAAAATAATCTATTACAATATCTTCTTTATTTCTACCTCTAATTAGAAATTATATACTCACAGATTCATAAAATATTAAAATATCTTCTTTAATCTTAATCATTTTTCATACTTCAAATTATGTTACATAATATCAAATTACCTTTGTCCCTTTGATATCTGCTTATTCCTTAGCACACTTGCTTTCTTGTAAATATTTCTTTTAATAAATTATCTAATGATATGATCACAAAATATAAATAAAGAATAATAAATGGTTAAGAAGCGATGATCTTAAAGATGTTGTGCTTAAAAACATAACAAATTATTATTATTATTATTATTATTATTATTATTATTATTATTATTATTATATTATGGACTTTATTGCCATGATCTTGGGCCCGGGCCTAGCACGGGCTTTGCAAGACTAGTATATATATATATATAAAGGAGGGAATGAAAAAGGTGATTTGACACTTCTCTTTGGCCAAAGATCCTATTTATCTTTTTTTCTATTTTCTTATTTTTATATTTCCCTATTTATGCTATTGTTAAAATGATAAGTTTAACAATTATTACTCCAAACGTTTTAACTATTCATCAACTGATACTATTCCTATTTATTACTCCGGAGTCCAGACGTTTCAAGATTACTAAAGCACCCATTCATGAAGAACTCTATTCATATTCCTCGCTAATGGCCCCTAACACTCTCATTTATGACCAAAAAAAGTATTTAGTAAAGAGAGTCTTATAGCTTTGGGATTTCACCATGAATGAGAACGCAACAGTTTAAAATGTAAGTATATCCCCAAATTTTTTCCTTTTCCGTTTCCTTCTCTTTACATGTATGTTTATACTATAAATTATACCGCTCAAGTAACCTTCAGCTACCTCCTCCAATCCTCTCTCATCACTACATTGAACGAGGCCTTCGGCCATCCAGAGTATCATCAATTTAGATGCTCCAAATTTTTCATCCTCCCTAAATACTCCCATAGTTAGAAGGCAATGTCTCAAATGATCTGGTAAATAGCAGTAACTTAATTGTATTGCCAAGTTGCTCTCACTTTCAACTGCTCCATGATGAGACTTTAAATTGTTTGAAACTTCACACCACTCTGAGACATTCCTTTCTCTTCGCTAGAATTCCACCAATCAAAACAACTGTAAGAGGCAGTCCTTTACAATATTCCGCAATTTGTACGCCAACATCCTGTAATTCAGGAGGGCAAGTTTCCTTTTGAAATGCTTTTTCCTGCAACAATTTCCAGCTCGCTTCCCTAGTTAGGAATCGAGGGGAATAAGGATTAGTACAGTTTTTGACTTCCATTGCCACATGTTTAAGTCGAGTTGTTAACATGATTCTGTTTCCTTATTTACCAATTGGAAAACATAATCTTAACTCATCCCATGCCTCAACTTCCCATACATCATCGAAGACAATGAGATATCTTTTGCCCATTAAACACTTGCGCAAACATATCGGCTATGTCACTCTCCTTATCACCGTACTTAACACCTGTCACTTGCTTATAGATAATCCTCAACAGCTCTCTCACATCATATGATTGCGAAATTGTAACCCAAGCTCGAACATCAAAGTGAGAAACAATAGAAGAATCTTTGAATATTTTTTTCGCCAAAGTGGTCTTTTCGAGACCAGGTATGCCAAAAATCGAGACAATATCCCGTTCCCTTATTCCTCTGGTCAGTAGCTTAATTATCTTGTCAGCATCATCCTCAAGCCCCACTGGTTCCTCTTCAGTTACTTGAGTAGTTGGTGTAGGAGTTGGAGCATTCTCATCAATGTTGACATCCTCCATCCTAATTAGCTTGATCTATTGATGTCAAACAGCAGTATGCATGCCTCACATTAGTAAGAGCAACAACATAGATTTGTGAAAAATAATGGGTGCAAACAATCCAGTTAGACTTTGTAAAAGAACCATTTGGAACTCTTAAACAACAACAACAACAATAACACCAAACCCTACTAACAACTCTCAATTATTGCCAAACTAGTATAGGTTACCCGTGCGATGCACGGGCCCAACATGAAATATTTAGATTTAGATAATTTAGTTCTACTGTGAGTAAGGTTTTGTGACCATATGCATAGGCATTATAACAAAGTATCACTAAGTTTTACAGACTACAAAAGAAAGGTTATTTATACAATATGCATTGTAAAAAATCAACCGTTAATACAATGGGCAGCATAACATATAATATAAGATTTTGATAACCTAATGACCAACAACACTTATTTATATAATATGTGGAAAAGATGCATCCAACTATCACAGATATAACATCCAAAAGCTATACTTAATTTCTTCTAGATAACAAACACACACTTAATCCGTCACTCCTCGTGTGTACAAGCAATAGTCCCCAATTTAGTTGTCATCCTCTAACATTCAATATTCCTGAAAAGCAGAGAAGTTTTATATTACCTTCAAAAATCATGTAAATCACAATCAATTTTGGGTTGATCAAAAAGTATGTAAATCACAACCAACTTTGAGTTGATGGAAAAACATAGATGAAAAGTCAAATATATAATAGAGAGTAGTACCCTGATTGCAGATAAAATTGTGATAATCCATTAATGGATCCACTTTTTTCCAACCAAAAGCGAAGTTCTTTATACAAGAAAATATCATGCCAAACATTATTCCTCTAACCAAAAATAGAAATAGAGGATCCTATAATTGAAACTGTATTGAAAAGACTAACAAGGAACTTGATGATGCAAGATCAGTTTAAGACTTTCATTCACCTCTATAGTTAGTAACATGAAACATATAGCGCCAACATATTATTTGTACAAATATAATATCTTAAATACCATGTGCCTTATTAAACAGTACAAATAGGTTGACAAAACATTCTTCTTGATCATCTTTATTATTGTTTTAAAATAAAACTTGAAAAAGAGTCAAAAGGTATGGATTCACACAATTTGCTACTCTATTAATTTCACTATGATTCAGATTACTCATTACTTGAGAAGTGTTGCTTAAGATACATTCTCAATTTTGTCTTCTCGGGTTATTATTAATCTGTTCTTAGTCTGTGGGTAAAACTCACTCTGCATATCAGTATTCTCGTCCTTATCATATCTTCTAATCTGATATAGTACCCTGTCTAGCTTGGATTATAAATTGTATCTCCTGATTTGCAGGTTGGCTTAATGAGTTAGTGGTCTGTTGATATTTCACTCACACATTGACTCCTAATATCTCGCCTTCTCCATTTTTCTCCTCACAACCTACAATCTCCCTTACAGCGGCAACATAATCAACCTTCCCAACATCATCACAAGGGGGCTGGATATTTATTAGTTAAAACTAATAATTTCGATAATGTTTAGTGAGTATTTAAAAATATATATAATCTGCTGGTATCAGGCTGTGTTGGGTTTTATTTCCGCAAACTGTAATGTTCACTGCTTATTATTTGGAATTTTATCGAGTTTAAGACATAATACTTACTGTTAAATTGCTTAAAACTGGAATGGGAAAGTGTCGGCCGGCCTTGTCTTCATGAGAGGCGCCATCACGACCGTGTGTGGATTTAGGGTCGTGACAAACTCTCATGAACTTCTTCGTTTATCTCGGGTCTGTTATTAGAGTCTATACCCTTTTGAAGGGGTTTATTCTTCACTTGCTTTACAGTTTCACTAACCAAATGAATTGTTTAGTTGTTGTAGGCATATCATCGAACAACTTAATTGCATCAAATTCTTTAGTTTAAAATTTCATTATATAAATAAATAATGACTAAGATCGATTAACTGAAAGAACAAAGTAAAAGAAAAAAGATAAGCAAAAAGTCATTCCAAGGAAAGCTATCATTGATCATAAAATACGACATTTAAAGATAGAGAATATCATGAAAGTAAGTTTTCATATATACCTATATTGTCTAGAAAGAAATTTTTACAAAAGTAAAAAAGTTGAAGAATAACAATTAAAAGACAAATATATAGCAAATATATATAGACCCAATTTTCCAAAAATAATTTTGATAGTTCAGATTATTACAACAATTAAATTATAGAAATCATAATCAAATTAGCAAAAATGACATAAAATAAGTTGTTAACCTGAAAAAAAAACAATCATAACCTAGAAAAGTTCCAGGTGATGGAAGCACCAGAATCAAACTGCAAAAGACAACAAAAAGACATGCAGTTAGATAAATATTCCTAGATCGAGTTGAAGAAAGTCAAGTAAACAAAGAAGGGCCAAAGAGGTTTACAAATGCATATATTTCAGCCACCTAATAACAAAAATAGGTAAAGAGAGAAAAAAGGTTATCGGCAAAGCTATTATGAAAGAAGTAGACTGGGATGAATAAAGGAAAAAGGGGAGAAAAGAACTTACTGTAACTCAATAATACAGCAACAGCAAATATAAAATCGAACCAAAGCAGATAAATTCGAAGCAATGACCAAGATCGAAGGACAGAAGCAGAGCAAGCATCAGAGAGAGAGAAAGAGATAGAGTGGAGTTTTGGAGTGGCTTCTAGAATCTATCGATATGATTCAAACATATGCATATGAGTAACTTTAGCTTTGCCCTAGAATAAATTTCAGAATTCCAATTTTGCCACTGTTCGTCCTTCACCAACTCTCACTTCTAAATAATACTAATTAGGGTATGCCCGTGCACTGCACGGCCCAACATGATAGATCTCTTTTTAATTGAAAAACAACATAGTAACATTGTTCTTAATTCTTATAAATAAGATTTTGTAAAATTTAATTGAGAAAAATCATTATGCTAAATTCAACAATAGAAAACATAATGACAAAGAAAATATCATTAAATAATAGTAATGCTTTCTATTTTGTGAAACGCACACTTAATTATTCCACACTATATATCACCTAGAGACTCACATATTGACTTCTAAGGTAACCTTTATTCTTTTCAGTTACAAGGTTTTGATAGATATAATCGCATATGTTACTGTTTGAGTAATCATGCAAGAACTATTAAGCAAGATACAATATGTTGCACATTCAGGTAACATGGACGAATAGTTCTTGTGTCAAAATAAAGTTGAATCTCTTTATTTAAGATTACTAAAACTAAATAGATTGAGTATGACTATTCATTCAAAAGAGTAACATCTTATTAGGCGGCAAGGATTGGCTCCAATATTGCTATAAATCTACTTTAACTTCAACTGAAGTAAAAAGCAGATCATCAGCAATCAACTAAGAGAACAATATCAAATTATTATTTTAGCACAATCATTGATCATGCATTTACACATTAAAGTGGACTTTACAGCATAAGATATTAGTCCGCAAACAATCAATCTGATAAAACATTGAAATAATCAGAGTCCAAGAACCAAAATGTGGCTTCCAAAAGTTTCTCCTTTTCATCTATCAAATGTGAGTAGTAAGGAACTGAAGCTTCTCTTTGCGGTACCTTTTCTGGTATTGCTCTTGACTGCCTTTTTTAGGACTACTATCTACTGTAAACAAGTAAAGAGAATAGAAATCAATACATAATTTTTCTAAGCCCGTTCCTAAGGAACTTAGACTTGAAACTTTATCATATTTCAAGAAACCTCTAAGCACTAAGGGCAGTCTTTTAACTTGGGGCTTTAGAGCACCCATTTGCAACAGAACGACAGTAAAATTAGTAAAAGTGAATACTTAAAATTCTTTGGGACACTGCTCACTCTATCTCTGCACTTGAAGTATAAATTCAATCGGCTTGTGACAAGCTAATATGTAAAGGATTGAAAATTGTAATATCAACCTATTGAAGAGGATTTAGGCAAAACCAATCAAGTAACATAACATCAAGAGAGCTATGAGAATGGGAGTGTAGTTTTCTCTCCAGATAATTTTTAATAAACTGAATGTATCAGGAACAAACACAAAAACAAAGTTAAGATCCATTTTCATTCACAAGTTCAGTGGATTAAGTTACAGAATAGACAAAACTGTGAAGGGGAAGAGGTGTAAGACTTTACCATACATATATGAACCCAAAACGGATTTCTTTTCCGGTGGCAAAAGATCCTAAAAAGGTAGATACTTCCTGCGGTTGGCAAGCATAAATAAGAGTAAAAAGAAGACAATTTTGTGAGAAAGAAGCAATTCTAAGCTACATTATATTATAATTATATCAATTAAGAATCCAGAGGAAAGAAGAAAATCTCACGCATAAATACATAATGGGACTCACCTTTTATAAAAATTTTTATGGTGTTGGTGGATCTAGTTTCAGCCCTGCGCTTGAAGATTCAGATATCGCATTTGTTCTTTCCATTTCGACCTCATTTGTTCCTAGGGCCTTGACTTACTTTTTGCTTCTCTCGCCAATATTTGGTGCAAAGATCTGTTCCTTTTCTATGTAGGACAACATTGATAGACTTGTATGCACATTGTCAAAACTTTTCAAGAATGATTATCTTAATTGAATTCGGAAGATTCTGTCCGAAAACATATCTAGGACATTGTTAATGTGCGTGAGTTATTTCTAAAAGTGAAAGATAATTTTTTAGATCTAAAGTACCAGGTAAACTAAGTTGAAATGAAAGTACCGTAAAAGTACATATAGATGAATTTTTCATGCTAAAAATAATTAAATTGTGGGTCACATAATAAGAATATACATAAAATATACTAATACAAAATAACTAATTGGTCTAAGTTTGTACCTGTCACATGCTGTGTCAAATATATCTTTTGTTGTCATGTCGAGCATTTTTTCAGCTACATCACCCAAAATTACTGCAGTTGTTGAACCACTACCATTAATAAAATTAATCAGGAACATATACATGCAAC